AATGCCAAAAGTGCCATTTTCCGGCTGATACATCGGCGCATCCCTGCTTTCTTTCCTCCCAGCTGGGCGCTGCTCTGTGTCCCAGCGGGAAGAAGAGAAAGTGTGACAGCCAGCCGAGCGCTGCGGGAGGAGCGTGCTGTGAGCTGCCGGCATCTCTCCTCCCACACCGCTCAACCTCCTATCACAGTCTGGCAGAGCGGTGTGGGGGCGGAGACCGCCCACACTGTCACAGCTCTCCTCCCTGGACCGCTCGCTCAGCCTCCTGTGACAGCATGTCAGGATGGAGAGCGAGGTACAAGCAGTCAGAGATCAGTGGAAGCACAAACACTCAGTGATCGCTGAGGGTTTGTAGATAGAGGACATAGTATGGTTACTATATCCTCAATTATGAATGAATGGGAAGTGATCTACATCCACTCCTGTTCATTCATAGTTGTAGTTCTAGTAATCACACTGTGTTCTCATGTTATCAATGAACAGGAACACTCAGAGGATTCCTGTTCATTGATAACAGGGGATACAGAAAAGAGGATTGTGTCCGCAATCTCTTTTTCTATTTTAAAAGGGAAATATCAGGGGTCTGTTTAGACCCCTAATATTTCCCTGAAGCCCCTAAAAGTAAAAAAAAAAATTTAATAAAAAAAATGAAAATATAAAATTAAAAAGTTTGTCAAAATAAATAAAAAATAAAAAACACATTTCGGTCTGACAATTTTTTTATTTCGGTTTAGTTTTTGAAATTTCCATTTCGGTGCACCTCTAGTTTTAAGCGGTTTCACAGACGCACGCAATTTAAAGGCTTGACATGTTTGGTATCTATTTACCCGACGTGTATTCCAGAAGCCTGCTGCACTCCTTACTGGGCATCACTGTCAGCATGGGTGCTTAAAGTGACTGCGGATGGCGCCGCCAATACTGAGACTTGTTAAAGATGTCACCAGCATACCATATTGAAGTGAAGAACACGTCTGTTTATGGACACTTCATGTCAAAACATATAGCAACGTTTCAGGGCCACACAGGGTCCCCTTCATCAGGCTTGAAATGATAGCTTACTTTACCCGACGTGACCCCATTTTTAAAATATTTTTACCAAAAAATTGGGTATTATATTCTGTTTCTTTCCACTAGATTTCAATTTAATGCAATTTATCCTAAAAATATTAGTTTGATAAACATTTGCACAAATACTGTGCAAAACAAAATATAATGAAGTTCCTCCAAGCATGGTGGATCTTATGACTCACTCAGGTGATAGTGCAGGTTCTTGGTATTAGCTTAGTGGGGTCACATGGGGATAGGGAGCCTAAGCTCTGTGTAATCTGCAACTACGAGCATATGTAGGGTTTCCTTTCCTCACTCCTAGAATGAAGCGAAGGAAACATGAGCTGGTGGTGACGGGGCATTAATGTCACTTTAAGACCTTCCAACGCAAATATGAAGCGAGCATTCATATTTCCGACACAGAGCAGATGCCTCCAGATGATTAGCATACTAATATTGTATTGAATGGCTTAGTGCACAGACACACTAAGCGTCACCTTCATCTTACATTTAAAATAAAAACAAAGGTTAGAGAATCAGCCCTTCCCCATTTCAATTGCTTTCCGGACAATCATGTCCACAGGAGAGAGGAGTTTTTGTATTCTGCACCAGTGTACACACAGACTTGCTATTAGCCAGCAAGTTCCTCAAATGTTACCTCACTTATCTTCCATTTTATGACCTAAACATATTTTTAGTTAGGTGTTAAGGGTCGGTGGGGTGTTGAACCCACTTAGTTTTTTGAGCTGCTGGGAGAAAGCGGGAGGTTCTCCTTAACAGCCTGAATCAGCTGTAGTCATTGAGAGATTCTCTGTTCCCACTTGTGGCGCAAACAGGGAGTACGACCCAAAATGGCCATGTGGACAGGAAAAGAATTGGGAACTATGGCAAGGAGATCTCTGCAGGAGTACCCACCAAGAAAAAAAAGGCAGGGGCTGACTCAGCCCATTTTGCTCCACCTAGAACTAAATATCACTTTTGGTTTGACGGACTTAAAAATTATCTACGCATATAAGGTTGCCCAGTTCCAACCATATGGTCACCCCACTTCCTCACAAGTCTATAGGTACATTCAGGTAGCAGACAGATTTTTTTAAGGGGAAATCTAGTGAGACTGCATTACTTTGCAATATTGTTGCCAAGAGAAAAGAATGGTGTCAGGGTTGTTAAAGGGTTAGTGGGCTTGTACATTAAACTGGCATACATGCGGAAAATGATATGCCATAACTCACAGCAGTCAGTTGATTTCCTATAATAAAATTTCAGATCAGTTAGGAAATAGAGCACAGAGATATCCCAGCTAGGTAGAAAATTGTATACATGACTGAGCCGTAGAAGAAAGATCAGCAGCAGCATCATGTGTGCCAATTACAGCACTATTGGGCCTCATTCACACACAACGCAAGCAAAATTGTATATTGCGTATATGCGCGCACTATATCTAATCCCAGAATGCATCACTCGTAATGGAATTTTTAATGTCAAATAATACATACATACATACATACATGGCAGATGAGAGGGGGCAGAGCTTATGGAAGTACAGTATGGATGAATAAACCACACAAGGCAGGAGAGAGGACTTTTATACAGGAGGACGTTATGGACGTTGTGAGCTCTAATATACACGCGGCAGATGAGAGGGGGCAGAGCTTATGAAAGTATGGATAAATAGACCACATAAGGCAGGAGAGGACTTTTATACAGATGAGGACGTTATGGACATTGTGAGCTCTAATATATGGGCGGCAGATGAGGGGGCAGAGCTTGTGGAGGTATGGAGGAATAAACCACATAAGGCAGGAGAGAGGACTTTTATACAGATGGAGGACATGAAGGACTTTGTGAGCTCTAAGATATGCGAGGTAGGTAAGAGAAGGGCAGAGCATATAGAAGTATGTAATGAAAAACTAACTCTTGTAGCTTACAAATTGGGCATAGAAGGTCCTCAACATCTGTGACCTAGCTCAAGATGGACACTCCACAGGACTTTGAGAACTTGTCTTGGGGTAAAGGAGATAGTTTGAAATTCACCTACAGAAAGTCCAGCTGTGAACGCTTCACATTTCAGGGCATCTACAAGTAAAAGGACATTGTGGACATTCTGTGCTCAAAATGGGCTAACCCAAATTCATGAGATTTGGAGATATCCACATGGATGTAGCATGGCCAGGATGGAAAATAGAATCCATCAATGGGGTGATCTCCAAGTGTATGCACATTTTGAACACACGTTCACTTAATTAAGCCGATTTACCAAAGTCAAGAAGTTTCACACAAAAAAAAAAAGCATGGACTATTCACACCAAATTATCCAGTCATGTGAAAAGTATCAGCCCATTAATGGGCATTCAAAATTATGGGAAATTCTTTTATATGACTGGATAAAGGGTGTGAGTATCCATATTTTTCTGTGATTCTTTTTGTGTGGAAGTCAGCCTTACTACCTGCTGACTGATTGAGATGCAGACAACACACTCACACTATTATCCTATTGAACACAATTCATTGTCCGACACACTACAGGAGATAGATGGATATATTTCAAGCCATTTCTTTGAGTTTTAGAATAAAGGGTTGAAACCCATCATGTATTTTTTGCCATCTGTATCCTATTAGAGAGAGTTCCCTTAACTTTCTGTCCAACAGACAGCAAGATGAAACCTCTTAAGAGTGAGGAAAATCCTCTTTTTAGACAGTTGCCACCCCTTACCTTCAGTTCCAGTGACTAACAGTCACCAGGACAAAGACAGGAATAAAAACCTGACAAGGCTTCTAACCCCTCACCAAACAAAAATTAAAACAAACAAAAAAGAATGGGGAAGAAGGTTTTGGCTTTAGATACACTTAAATGAAGTTGCAACATTGAGAATGAGCCCAGGCATTTACCCCTGTGGGAGTGTACCCACAATGAGCGATTAGAAAACTCCCCAGTCACTTCCCCTGGATAAGAAGAGCTGATGGTGTGACAGCAGCCAGCTATAAAAGTCTGATAGTCTGGGACATGCAGAAGGAGATAGTGTAACCCAGGATTAGGAAAGACTTTGAAAGGCTGTACAATGTACACGGTTATCTAAGTGCTTACCTAAGTTCAAAGTCATGAACACTCAATGCTGAAAAACAGATTCTATAGAAATGTTACACAAGGAGAATAAAGATGACGTTCACTCTGTAGACACAGCTCCCTCCAAAACATGGCAAGAGCAGGCAGGATGAATGGTGAATGAGCAGTGCCTCGTGCCGATGAATGAAATTTGTGTATGTGTGGGAAGGGGGGTGGAGGGGGGGGACAGCACTGCCACCACCACTGGAAAGCAAGACGTGTCCACTGGCTGAAAGCTGCCGTGTAGGAGGACACCGGGGTTGTGTCAGTTAAACTTGTGTTTACTCAAACATGCACTCCTCAAGCATCAGTCTCACAGCCAGTGACACACACAATTTATTTAAGCCGCATACCTCATATCATAGTTTCCTCTGTTTTGTGCAATCTTTACAGCATAACAAAGTCTGGTGTGTGGACTGCCTATAGGGAGGCTCCTTTGCCTTGCAGGGTCTCCCTAGAGCCACCTTGACAGCTGTGCTCCCCAACAGGATTGATGCTACACATGCCACTTGACAGTATAGCACTCTGATGCCATGTCCATACAACACAGGCACTACAGGGGCTACTACCCATACTGCACTCTGCATGTGTCAGCTGAACACAGGTCCATAGCATTGCGCTCTGGTGCCATGTCCAGCCAACACAGGCACTACAGGGGCCACTACCCATATTGCACAACACACAAGGAATGATGGGGCATGTAGTTCCAAAGATTTAAATCTCACCTGTGCTCAGGGCTCACTCCCTAATGGGAGATTGAGGGGAAAGTCACACTGGAACTTTGGGGCACAAGAATAAACATAAGACTTATGGCTCCTATGAGGGAAGAGTAATATTCCAGACACAAGCTTACCTTTTCCACTTGTTGCTTCATGATAACCGGGACTATAAAGACCAACACGGCCCCGAGGGCCACCAGCAGCAGGCCGACCAGTCCCACGATGATGGACTTCTTATTATTAGTATTATTGGGACTCGCCATGGTTTGTCAGAGTGGACCTGTGCCCCGGCTCTCCAGCTGAGAAGTGTGCTCCTCCTTCTCCAGCACGGAAGACATCCTCTCAGCCGGTTTTATTCCAAGGGGCAGGTATAGGCCCGCCCCAAAACAGCTTACCCAAACTCACCCCACTCTGCAACCTTCCATAATGTCAGGGCTGGCCCCACCCGAGAGGAGGTGGCCGCGGCAGCCTTGCCCTCCCTGTTGGCACATTGGTGTCGGCTGTAAACATAACACATGCCTGCCTGGTGTGTGTACATAGAGAGCGGAGAGAGTGCACACTGCTCCTCTAATGCCGAATATACCGAACGCAGCGAACCCCTCTCCACGTGATATGACTGTTGTCTTCAGAAGATCCCCGTCACAGAGATATGATTTTTAGATGTTTTACAATGAAACAGTCACATGGAAGTCTTAGTTTGGATCTTGTTCTGCTGTAATAAGTCTAGTGCGTCATCTTCTCCACATAACAGCAAAGGTTCAATGTGCTGCTGCTTAAATAACATGGAGATAGCCATAGACGCCAATGGAACGGCGCCGCCTTGTGGCCCTTCTAGGTTCTGTCACACGCTGAGGTATGGAGGAGAGCGCGGGACTTTGGGATAGCCGAGGGTAGAGGAAATGAGCTGTATGTAGGAATACAATAGAGAAAGAGCCAGAGGAACGCTGGAAGTTTATGAACGGAAGTTTCAAGAATAACTCATTATTTTTATTTGCAGCTTTGGATAGAGGGGGGATGTGTTACAATCTTGTCAGTTTCTAATTTCAGTCTATGTTACGGTTACCATTCGTCATCTGATTCCTGGGGACATTCAGAGCCGGATTAATAATATCACAGGCCTGGTGCTGAGGATTTTGGTGGGCTTTTTATGGAAATGAAGACGGGCACTGAGGCCCTCTTCCTCCTGTCCGGACTGTGAGTTGTACTCTCTCTACAGCTTGTAGTCAGTGGTGGAGCGCCAGTGCTTGGTTGCAGCTGTGACCCTGGTAGATCTGCCACTGACTCAGCAATGCAGAATACCACCAATTATAGAGGACTACAAATCCCAGTAATACATTATACAGCAATGCAGAATACCACCAATTATAGAGGACTACAAGTTCCAGTAATACAGCAATGCAGAATACCACCAATTATAGAGGACTACAAATCCCAGTAATACATTATACAGCAATGCAGAATACCACCAATTATAGAGGACTACAAGTCCCAGTAATACATTATACAGCAATGAAGAACCCCAACCACCAATTATAGAGGGCTACAAATCCCAGTAATACATTATCCTGCAATGCAGAATACCACCAATTATAGAGGGCTACAAATCCCAGTAATACATTATCCTGCAATGCAGAATACCACCAATTATAGAGGGCTACAAATCCCAGTAATACATTATCCTGCAATGCAGAATACCACCAATTATAGAGGGCTACAAATCCCAGTAATACATTATCCTGCAATGCAGAATACCACCAATTATAGAGGGCTACAAATCCCAGTAATACATTATCCTGCAATGCAGAATACCACCAATTATAGAGGGCTACAAATCCCAGTAATACATTATCCTGCAATGCAGAATACCACCAATTATAGAGGGCTACAAATCCCAGTAATACATTATCCTGCAATGCAGAATACCACCAATTATAGAGGGCTACAAATCCCAGTAATACATTATCCTGCAATGCAGAATACCACCAATTATAGAGGGCTACAAATCCCAGTAATACATTATCCTGCAATGCAGAATACCACCAATTATAGAGGGCTACAAATCCCAGTAATACATTATCCTGCAATGCAGAATACCACCAATTATAGAGGGCTACAAATCCCAGTAATACATTATCCTGCAATGCAGAATACCACCAATTATAGAGGGCTACAAATCCCAGTAATACATTATCCTGCAATGCAGAATACCACCAATTATAGAGGGCTACAAATCCCAGTAATACATTATCCTGCAATGCAGAATACCACCAATTATAGAGGGCTACAAATCCCAGTAATACATTATACAGCAATGCAGAATACCACCAATTATAAAGGACGCAATCCGCCTATTTGCAGGGGGCGGAGCTGGAGCTCCTACCTCCCCTATGTTAATCCGGCCCTGGGGACAGTACCTCTATTGAGGGGTCTGTCCCCAGCCACCCAGTGGCCGTGGTGTGGCCAGGTTACCCCCCTAGCAACCAACCACCAGTGGCGCGGGGGGGTTGAATGATGACAGCGGGCTGAAAGATGCCGTTGGTGGTCAGTTAGTAGGATTGCAAAGCAACCAACCAACCAATGATGTGCTTTGCCCAACCAGCATTGAGAGGGAGGTGGAGGACGGAACTTCCTGTGCTCCATCTTCTCAAGTCAGTGTTTTGCCTAACGTGCGCCGCCACCCAGCTTCTGCCTGCAGCCTGCCTGAGAACAGACTATAATGTACGGGGGAATTTTGGGTACTCTGATGTAGGGGCAAATATGGGACTCTGATAAAAGGGGGGGACTCTGATCTAAGTAGCAACTCTGGAGACTTTTATGTAATTATAATGGGTTTGTTCTGCCCTCAACAGGCAGGAATTATAGGCTTACCTACCTGCCATATCAAAATTGGCCACAAGATGGTGCTGAAGAGAAAATATCTCTGATTATAGCAGCTACAGGACTGTTCTTTAACCCCTTCATGACTGAGGCCTTTTTTTTTCATTTTTTGCACCCATGCTATATTCCACATTTTAGGCCTGAAAATGACTTAAAACCCCCAAACATTATATATTGTCTGAATGGCAAGACCCTATAGAATAAAATGGGGTAGTTGCAAATTTTTATGTTGCGCAATATTAGCGCAACTCCTTATTAAACCCCAACATTTAGTGAAAAATGTAATTAAATGCCCCAAAACACAGCAAACTACCAATTTTTTTATGAAGTATAAAAGATGAGGTTACAACGAGTAAAACGATACCCAACATGCCCAGGTACAAATTGCGTGCGTCCGTGAAACGGCGAAAAACTGCAGTACCCCAAAAAGTCCATAGAAGACGCTTTAAAAGCCCCCACAGGTCATCAATTTAGAGATACCCCAAAATACTGGCCCTAGAATTATTGCTCTCACTCCGGCGTGCGCGGCGATACCCAACATGTGTAGCGTGTTTGTCGTTTTCATACGTAGGCGCACCCGACGCGTGTTTACGTGGCGACGCGCGTGCTCACGGGGGCGGGGGACTTTAAAAAAATTTTTTATTAGTATTAGATTTATTTTATTTCATTTTTAAAACTTTTTTTTTTTTTTTTTTACTTTACTTTGACTGCTAAGAACACAGAAGCGATCTGGCGACCGGCAATAGCCGCCGGGAGTCTGTTTAAACAGCTCCGATGCTGGCGACGTACAATGTACGTCGTCAGTCACGAAGGGGTTAAAGGAGAACTATGAGGTGAGTGCTTTTCACTCATCCTCATAGTTCTAGCCGACCTGTGACAAAGAAACTGTCACAGGTCGGCTCAGTAGATCGGGAAGTGAGCAAACACATACCGGTGTGCGCTCACTTCTCGATCCTGTCACTGCAGAGAGCCGTGACAGGGGAGTGACTAGATTCCCCGCTCCGATCCTCCAGCGCTGACTGGCGGAACGGATGGGGAGGGGGCGGGTACAGCTGGCTCTGCCTCTAGATAGGCAGAGCCAGCTGTCACTTAAGCAGCTGGGCGGATCCAGACATAATTGTCGGGATCCGTTTCAGCTGCGGCGTCTCAGTATACCGCGAGCTGTATCTCGCGGTTTACTGAGCTTTGGGTGACGGGAGGACGCTAGTTTGTGTCCTCCCGTTACCCTAAGGAGAACTATGGGGGAAAGCCCTAACCTCATAGTTCTTCTTTAACCTCTCTGGCGGTAACCCCGAGTGTGGCTCGGGGTTAATTTTCATTACCAAAAGCGATAACCCCGAGCCACACTCGGGATTACACTGTAGCGTCTTACCTTGTCCACGATCCTCGCTGTGTATGCCGGCATCCGTCTTCCGTCCCTTGCGAGCGTCCGCGTCGCAGGGGGGCGGAACCGGCGGGAGATTTAAAAGTATAAAAACGAAGAGAAAAAAATAGAAACAAAAAAGGAAAAAAAAAAATGAAATAATCAGACCGCCAGGGAGGTTAATAAAGTTCCCAGCATGCTTCAGCTTGTTGTAACAAACTTACCCCATCAGCGTTCCGGGTCTCTGCGCAGGGTTTCACCTCCTCTCCTGCGTTGTCAGGCAGCTCCTCCCCCTGAGTCGGCTTAAGCCGCGAAATTCAATTGCCCGGCGTTCATGCAAGGAGAATAGACAACAGGCAACTACCTCTTCTCTCCACACTCACAGGACTAAACGTCACAGAGAGCTATCCTCTCCGCTCCACTGACCTCCCTCCTTTATCCAGGTTGTTGTCACGCAACGATCCATCATCCATAACAGGATCTTGTTTGGGCATGTAGGTTCAGCACTTGGACAGTTAACCCTCTCCTCACTACTACAGCCGCAACATACACAAGACGGAACACTGGGCTGTAAGTTACTAATCCACGGCCCCTACATGCTGCACTATACCCTCCTGACCCCTGCATTCCATCTGTTACACACTTCTTACCCCTGCATTCCATGTGTTATGTACTCCAGATCCCTGCACTTCATGTATTATCTACTAACCCCTGAACTTTGTGTGTTATCTACTCCTGACCCTTGCACTCCATGTATTATGTACTCCTGACCCCTGCACTCCATGTGGTCTAATCCTGACCTCTGCACTCCATGCGTTATCTACTCTTAACCCCTGCACTCCATGTGTTATCTACCCCTGCACTCAATGTGTTATGTACTCCTGACACACACACACACACTGTCAGTGTTAAATGCTCATTATATCTAGGGGAGGAGGAATAAGGTGTAATACTTACCTTACCTCTCTCAGGTAGGCTTTCTGTACACTGCACTCTTCTTTAAGGCTGTCTGGCGGGTGGTTGCACTGTGACACCATCACATAGAATGCATGACCACCAGTTCTGCATTGTACAAGATGAGTGCCCGTCCACAACCCAGAGCATCCGAGAAGAGAGCGCTGTAGCTTGCCAGAGGGAGGAATAGGGTCACTATTACATTTTATTTCTCTACCCTTAGA